TGCTGAAAAAAAAAAAAATACTTCCATGGAAAATTAATTCTTCTCGGTTTTCTTTTTATTTACCGTTCATTAATTATTTTCAGTGTATTTTGCATTTATAATCATTATATTTCATTATATTGAACCTAAAAAAAATATATTTCAATATTTTTCAGTATATTTTCAGTGTATGTTGCTGTAAATATAATGAGTTCTTGCTGTAAATAAAAATGATGAGTTCTTGCAGTAAATAAAAATGAAACAAAAAACATTAATATAAATATCGAAAAATGAAACAATATAAACTGATGTATATTAAATAAACTGTAAATATACATCAAAAAAACATTGAAAAACATTATATTTTACGTTCATCATCGGCGAGAATGCCGTGGTGGCTGTGGGGCTTGGGAGGACGCAATTCATATACTGTACATATACTATACATATACTGTGCATATACTCTAATCTAAAAATTTGTCCAAAAACAGAAATAAAAACGAAGGCATCCTCAGATTGAAATTCACGTTCCCACTCCTCGACCTGTCGCTATTCATCTCTTCCGCCACCGATTGCTCCACGAAGCTCTCTGTTGCCGCGAAATTGGCCGTGAATTACATCTTCCACAAAGGAATGAGTCCATTCCCCATAAGCCCACAAAAGATAAATGAGTTACATACCTGATTACCCTAGATTTGCAGGTATTCAAGAGTGGACATCTGCTCATATCTTCCAAAGGTTAGTTATTTTCAGTATTTGAAGTAGAGAATTTTCACAATTTCTCACAGTATTTGGAGGAAAATTGCTCAACATTCACATATCGCCGGAACTTGCTGCTTGACGCGGCTTTCGGCGGCGACGGGTTCACTCACGGCCAAGGAGGGCTGCCGTTCGCCGACGGTGAAGGATGAAAGGGCGGGATCTGCTCGTGAAAAAGAACAGGGGCTGATTTGATGCGTAGATGCAAGGAACTCACCGGCGAGAGTTGAAGGGGTAGGACGGGACTGGTTTGCTCAAATCTTTGAGTGAAATCTCAATCGATTTTATCAGCAGAGGTTTTGAGACGATGGAAGTTGAGATCGAGTTGGGCGAGATTGATTGAAGAAGAAAAGGAGTTCTGCTGCTGCGTGAATTTTAATAATTTAAGAGAAAATCATTAATTATAATATTCCATAATTTGACATATAAATTAAAACTCTGGTATATGTACAAATAATTATGGTTCATGTGGTAGGTTTGAAAATAAATATAGATTGAATGTATATATGTAATATAAAGAATAATGTTTTGTATGGAGTGTAAATTCCTCTTTTTACTTTTAATGACAATTGGGCTTATTGAATAGGATTGGGCTTATTGGAATAAGAGCCCAAACAGCCCAAAACATTAAAAACCCCCGCAACGCAACAAGTTATGGACATGGCATGATCCTTTCTTTGAGAAAATTACCTAGCGGACGACCCTTAAGTTTTTCTCTCCTCATTAACGAGATAATGTTATTAATACCAAATCTAATTTTTCTTCACCATTTCAACGAAATATTACTTATTTCAATCCCGTCTTTATTTGTTTCTTTTAAATATTAGAATTACTTCTTATTCCCCCAACCTAATTTGTCTCTTCGAAGAACGAAGAACAACTAAACACGCCTTTCCCTCTCCATTTCAATGAAATATTACTTATCTCAATCCCGTCTTTATTTGTTTCTTTTAAATTTTAGAATTACTTCTTATTCCCCCAACCTAATTTGTCTCTTCGAAGAACGAAGAACAACTAAACACGCCTGCAATAGCGCACGCCACAAGGGCCGACGAAGGTGGTCAAGAGAGCCGACGTCACACCATCTTCGCCACGCACCACCGGCGGGAGGTTTTAGCGCTTTCCGAACCGTCGCCAACATCACCTTCTTCGAGATCTACTCCATGTCCGGCTTCTTCCTCTTGTCGTCGGTGCCGCCCGCCGTCTTGAGGCTCAAAATGTAACCGCCTTGAGATAAAAGTTGTGGTTTGCTAATTTAGGGTTTTAGCAAAATTTGATTTGATTTGAATTTTTTTTTTTTTCTTGCGGAAGTTTCATTGATAGATCTATAGATCTATGGTTGCTTTGATTTGTTTTTAATTTCTGCTCTATTTTTCTTTTGGTATTTGAGAGAGAGTTAGAATTTTTTGCCCATGTGATCCCAATTTCTGGTGAGTTCAAGTATATATTTTATGTTTTTGAAGGATTTTGATAGTTAAATTGATGTTTATGTTGATTTGATTATGAGTTTTTTTAATCTTATTTTTAGTTTATCTTCAGTTTTTTTTTTTCATTCGATTTTTTTTATTTAACAAAAAATAGATAATAAACACAAGATAAACTTAAAACCATAAGATAAACTTTTATGATAAATTAAAAGTTTAAAATTAGTTTTATTGAGAGTTGTAATAAACACGAGATAAACTTAAAACCATAAACAAAAAGTTTATAACAGAAAACGTAAGTAGATTTAAAATAATGAATCAAAAGTTTAAAATTAGTTTTAAATAAGTATCTGAGAGTTGTAATAAGCACAAGATAAACTTAAAACTTAAAATCATACACACAAAGTTTATACAAGAAAACACTGAAATGAAAAAGACATGGAAGCATACAACTGACATTGTTTTAAAAGACTCTGTCTTTTCGGAAAACAATTTTTCAAGGGACATAAATGTGTCCTTTAGCCATGATCTTTCAAGGTTAAACGCCACGCAACAAAGTTCAAGCATTGAGATTTTTAAAGATTTTTGTTTTTAAATAAAGTGTGTGACTTTGATAAACTTAATTTGTGAAACTTTAATAATTTTAATGAACATTTTGGTTTTTTGAGATTCTGAAATTTTCAGAAAATTCTTATCAGACAGTGTATAAAACATTCAACATGTATTTTTTTTTTAGATTTATCAACACTTTTATATACTTATTGTAATTAAATATATTTTATTTGGTAGGATGATTTATTTTTAAGTTCGAACTTACTGTATATGTTTTTCTGCATAACACATAAAAAAAATATATTCAAATTTTGTTATAGTCCACTTACTAACTAATTTTATTAAATACCTTTAGGCTCCGTTTGGTTGGTCGGATTGGATATGATATCCTGCCAATTGTTATTATTTCATGCCTTTAAAGATGTTTGGTTCGCACAGTCCAAGTCCGTTAAAATGAAAGGGCCCGGTTAATTAATAACAAGAGGAATTTGCACGCTCCACTTAAATAATATAAAAATATTACATAATTACATTCTTTATATAATTATTTACAAATTAACTAAATTTGTTATATTTATTTACATATATGCCTAAAAAGCTAATTTCCTAATTACATGGTAACTTCCCATTCTCTCTCCTCTTCCCTCTAATTACATGGTAACTTCTCATTCTCTCTCCTCTATCCCTCCTCTCTCTTATTCACAGACGGTCCTTTCTCTCTTCTCACACAAAACCCTCCAAGGTCCACCGCCGCTGCCCTGCAGGTGAGAACATCCGCAACGAGGCCCGCCGCCACGCCTCGTCCCACGGCTTCTCCGCCAAGTACATCCCTTTCAACGCCGACCCATTCTCCATCGAGTCCTACTCCCTCGACGAGATCGTCTACCGAGCCATCCCCGCGGTCATCATCTCCAGGTAGGCGATCCGAGAATCGTTTTCCATGGAGTCGACGAGAGAAAAGAGGAATATCTTTCCGGAGGATGATTTATATTCAGTATATTTTCGGTATATTTTGTGTTGTGTTGTGGTATATTTTCGCTTCAGGATGATTTCGGATGATTCGGTATATTTTGTGTTGTGTTGGGTTGAGGTATATTTTTGGTATATTTTTCATGGAGTCTACTGTTTTGTGGTGTGTTGTGGTATATGTACAGTATATGATCAATATATATACAGTATATATGAAATATACCTGGCAGGAGTAAAAAATATACCTTGATTTTAATTGACACCTTTTTTTTTGTGATTATTTGCGTAATTTTTCTCAGAATAAAATTCAAAAAGCATTTTTATTTTTTGGTAAATGGACGCAAATCACAGGCAAAAGAAGGAAAAAAAGTTGAATTGATATGGTAACTGAATCAGTCAAATTAAATGCACGTGGAGAGTGGTTAGAATTAATTGGTAACTGCCATTATGCATTAATGTAGATGAATATTATCTTTTAGGCAAAGTCATAATTAATTGCATGTGTATGGTAGATTTGTACTCCCTCATATTTTTAATATTTGTCATTCTAGCTTAATTGATCATTTGTTAAATAAATGTCGTTTTGACTATTTTGTTCATATTTTTCCCTTTTAACCCCTCCATCAATACCCATTGTCCCTTCATATTCCCAAGAACATCCATCCACAATTGTGTCATTAAATAAGGTTAAACTTGAAAAGAAAAATATTTCTTAATTAGTGTGTTGATAACCAGGATGATAAATATTTAAAATAGGAGGGAGTAATTTTTTTAAAAACGTGTAGGAGGGATGAAAAATTCCCTAATAACAACTTTCAACATTGTGTATCCCACCTATGAGATGGGATGTATTATCCCATTCTATTTTTTATTTAAATTTACAAATATAATCTCATTTATTCTTCTTTTCTATCGTCAATTTTTCTTGGCACCAAATGCAAGAACCCTAATCATCTTTCCTTCATCATCTTCTTCGTTCATCTTCTTCTTCATAAAGAAATAGCACCGTCCCTTCATCTTCTTCGTTAAGCAACAACACCTTCAGATCTGGTAGAAATAAAGATTTTATTTTCAATTAAGCTTTCTACATGTTGGTGAAAGCTTAATTTCAGATCGGCCAATTTTATGGGCCCGTCGATCTCGAAGGCTGTGGCGGACGGATTGCCGGCGAATCCGTTGTCGGCCGTGAGCGATCTCCTGGTAGCGGCTCTCTCCCGCTCGTACGTGTTTTGGTGGCCGCCGAGGGCCTGCGAGGTGAAGAACAACCGAGGGTCGACGGAGGCCGATGAGTTGCTCGACGGGTAGGGTTTCAGATGCCGGACGTTTAGCTTGAAGAAATCGTATGTGCTAGGATCCGCCATTTTTGTTTTCCCGAGCTCCAATTTTCTCAATCTGTTAAACTAATGGGGACTGTGTTGGGTTGTTAGGCTATCTCCAACCGAATACTCCATACTCAAACCCATTTTGCAATAACTATCTCATTTTGCAGTAATTCATCTCCAACCGAAAAACTCATTCTCCACCCCAAAAGAATATTTTCAGCATATTCTTTTTTACATCAACTTTTACAACTTTTCAATACTACCCACATATTCTACAATTTTACAAATTAAACCACACTATTATTTTCAACTCAATTTGGACTTTATGTAATAAACTAATTACAAAGTTATAATAACGACACAAAAGAAATTATAAAATTATAATCATATACAATAAAATCGGATAAATAAATAGTCATTAAAAATTAAAAATTTAAAAATATAACACACAATATAATATTAAAAATTACAATGCAAAAGATGATAAATTAAAAATTACAACACACGCACAAGATGAGAAATTAAAAATTACAACACACAAAAAAAAAGAGAAAAAATAATAATTTAATTATAAATTAATAATTTGTGCACATATATTAAATGTAGTTTGCCTATCTTAAATTTTGAAAATATTTCAAACGGTATAATTGTTTTTTTTAATAATAACTTAGTTTTGTGCTTCGATATGCATGTTATGAAAATATTTTACAAATAATTTAGAGTTTTATGAATTTTTTTACAAATATTTTTTTTAGGTGTGGGATCTAATATACAAACTACATACGTACTTGCTATATTTTATACTTTATTGTAGAATGTTATGAAATTTCTTACAAATATTTTTTTAGTTGTGGGATCTAATATACACACTATATATACTTGTTATATTTTATACTTTAGTGTATTATTACAAGCAAAAGAATTATAAAATAAAATTATCTTATCTAATCAATCAAATTACTTCATTGTCATAATTAAAGAATTTGTTTTATCATAATAAAATTCACATTGCGATAAAAGGGGAAAGTTATGTATTTTTTTCTTAAATAATAGTTAATAGATGGTATATAAGTTTGGTCTAAAAAATAAGTTAATGGCCAATATCCAATTAAAGTAGAAAATGGGGCTGATTGCAATTTAAAAACTTCAACCGCAAAATTTTGCGTACAACGCAAATATGCGTCTGGAATAGGAGAGAGAAACAAAATGCTGCATTTTGCGTCCGTCTTTGCCGTTCGGTTGAATCTCTTTTACCCAATTTTTGCGTTTTGGCGTACGGTTGGAGACGGTCTTAGGAATTGACCGTTCGGTTGAATCTCTTTTACCCAATTTTTGCGTTTTGGCGTACGGTTGGAGACGGTCTTAGGAATTGAGCTCGAAAAGGGAGGAATGGAAAGGGATGAAGTGAAAATTTAATTTAAAATTAAGGGTATAAAAGTAATTTCAAATTAAATGATATAATTTTCAACCCTAAACAAACAAAGTTAATGGACTAAGTAAATAAATGGATAGCCTTTGAACCAATCCAAAAGATTATATCCTGCCTAATCAATTATTCTAACCAAACTGACCTATGATATAACTTTTCAGTTTTGCTCCATAGATTAATTAGTAACTATTATCTCGAAATTAACTTATGAACCGTTAATTAATTTGCCAACTGTCAGCTGCCTTTCAACTATATTTCCCAAACATAACTTCATTTTCCATCATAAA